CGACCCCATATGGATTCCCTATCTCCACAAACGTTGGTCATTTTGCCTATGACTTGCTAAAGGGCTACCCTCTCACTCCCTTGTCTTTTATAAAGCACTATAAATTGGAAGGCAGACCTCTCAGGAAATGTAATTTCAAGGAAAGACTTTCTTTGAGAAAATGAGGAAACTTTGTTCAGCAAATTTTCGACACTGGATCCCCAGGTCGTCGTCAGACTTTAGAAGCCGTGAAATGAACAATAAACAGTCCAAAAGTGCCGGTACAGTTATATAGTTATCTAATGTGAGCGTTAATTGGGAGCTGCAATTTGCGTCACTCCGTGGTGGACGCCCACACTAGATGACTATATAACTGTAAAGCACTTTTGGACTGTTAATTGTTCGTTGCACAGCTTCTAAAGTCTGACGACGACGACCTGGGGATCAAGCGTCGAAAATTTAGTGAATTACGTTTCCTCATTTCCCCAAAGAACGTCTTTCCTTGAAATAAGGCACTATGTCTACGACTGTGAACGACGGTGAAAAAAACGTGTATAATCGGTCTTATTATCTATTTATGGGTGGTTTCTACAGAGTTTAATTAGCGGGTTCGTCGCTGTTACATGCTGTGTGGGCAATTGGAGAGAGTCGACTAGAGTCCGACTGGGTTGTGGTAGGCCGAATTGACCACCGATGGCGTTATTATTTAAGCAACCTTATCAATGTGTGTTGGCGTCAACCTATCCGATTGTTTCTTTGTGATCTTGCCTAATTATCTCAGAGAATATTCTTATTTTAATAGAATTTCGGTGCACTACGCTGCGACCGCTTCACATCCTTACAAGTCGAATGGTGCACTCTATCGTCAGTTTGCATCTACTGAACCTTGGGTGAACAGATCGTCTTAGGATGAGGTTGCACCTTAATCAGTGTTACAATTCCCTCTATGTAATGCCTTCTAACGGAAATCATCAGTATATTTGAGGTAGATATAGGTGGGTTACGTTTTAACTCCCTGTTTGTAAGTGCGTGTTGTGGTATCAAAGAATAGTATGTCAGCTCATTGGCGAGGTCAATTGGCATGGGTCAATGGGGTGAAACATAGGTCAAAAAGAACAGGCAGTAAAAAACTCCTTGGGATTTTGTGGGAGAAAAAAACTGTCGCTCTTGTAGTCCTTTTTCCTCCCTCTAGGTGAAGTATAATGGGAGGTGTGACACTGGGGGCCAGGCTGTGTGAGTTGGGATCCAAGCCGCCATACCTATCTTCCCATTGTTTTAAAATTGTCGTCAAGTGTAGGCTGTGCCCAGGTAGTGTATGCTGGTATGTGTGGCACGGAGGTTCTGATTTTTCATTTTTGGAGCGTTTTCTGACCTCCTCGGAGGCATGCGCATTTCCCTCAACGTTTTGCT